TCTGGTTGGAAACGGGATCCATTCCAGAGGCCCGTTTGCAACATCAAAAGAATGCAACCCACAGTGGTGCGTCTGCGCATGCGCTGGTTGCAATTTGCCACTTCTGCGCATGCGTGTTATGTCATTTCGCGCTTCTGCGCATGCGCAAGTGGCGAAACCTGGAAGTAACCCTTTCTAGTACTTCTGGGTCGCCGCAGGACGTAACCTGAAAGAACATAACATGAAGCGGACGTAACATGAGGTATGACTGTTATAGGGAAGTGTTTTTTAATGTTTTTATATGTGTCAGAAGCTTCCCAGAGTGGCTAGGGCAACCCAGGAAAAGATAAATAGTAAAATATTACCACTATGGAATTGGACGTCCCTATTTTCATTGGAGAAATGTTGAAGGGTATGGAAGAGTGCTGGATTTGAGTCAGCGTGGGCAGTTCACCTGCACTGGGTGGTGAGCTGAGGGAGCTCGAAATCATCATCATCAATCTATATTTATGCAGATACCTACCTAGAAGATACATTAAATTGACTGTACCAAAAAGGAATTATTGTAAATATTAAGAGTTTACCTGGTTTCTCACCTGGGGCTGATGGGAGTTGTCGTCCAAAACATCAGATGGGCACCAGGTTGGGAAATCCTGAACTATGGGATAGCCAGTACGTTTATCCAATTAGCGATGGATTAGCAGTGGCCTGAGTACAGAGGAACGGCAGAAATGTTCGCCGCAGTTCCAAGCATGTTTTCCCAGGAGTTAGCCTCACTTTTTCAATGGGCCAAACCCCCAGGAAAGTATGCCGGAATACAGCCTTCATCTGTCACAGAAGTGAACCCCACAGAAGAGAGATGTTTATTTCTGAAGATATCCATCTGCTAGAACGGACACTTACCTCCTTAACAAATTAGAGGTTGAAGAGGGTTTGAGGGTTGTTTGGGGTTTAAGAAAATAAGAGAGAATAAGAGAGCCAGTGTGGTGTAGTGGTTAAGAGCGGTAGTCTCGTAATCTGGTGAACCGGGTTCGCTTCCCCGCTCCTCCACCTGCAGCTGCTGGGTGACCTTGGGCCAGTCACACTTCTTTGAAGTCTCTCAGCCCCACTCACGTCACGGAGTGTTTGTTGTGGGGAGGAAGGGAAAAGGAGAATGTTAGCTGCTTTGAGACTCCTTAAAGGGAGTGAAAGGCGGGATATCAAATCCAAACTCTTCTTCTTCTTCTTCTTCATAAAAATGAGATACTGCAAGGGCTTGTCCACACCAGAATTCACAGTGCATTCCTGCTTAATTTGCATAGTGTACATGGCATTACCCTCAAAAAACACTAGTCTTGATGCCTTCCCCCAGTATATTCAGGTTTCCCCCATACAGGGACAATCCCAAAAATGGGAGAGCTCCAAATCGCTCCATGTGGGGTTGCAAAGGATTTGTTTTGGTGTTGTTTGGTCTTGCCACTTCCTCCTGTTCCCCTTTCTGTGCCTGATGCTTCCCAGTGCTTTCATTTCTTCTCAGAAATGCCCTGAGTTTTTATTTTCTTTTGAAGCCTCAGATTCGTGCAAACAGATAAACTGTGCAAGCAGTGGCGTAGCGTGGGTTGTCAGCACCTGGGGCATGGCAAGTAATTTGCGCCCCTAACCCGTGGATTTGCGCCCCCTAACCCGTGGATTTGCGCCCCCTAACCCGTGGATTTGCCTAACCCCCCGATGTTGCGCCCGGTGCGGCCGGCCCCCCTGCACCCCCCACGCTACGCCACTGTGTGCAAGCAAACATTTAAAATTTCTACTCCAGGCTTATTGGGAAGCAATCTGAAAAGCATGTGCTGTTGAAAATTTACAATTGCTTTCTTTTCTTTTCCAGTAAAGGTGTGTCAGGAATTTAACCATCTCTCTCTCTCTCTCTCTCTCTCTCTCTCTCTCTCTCTGTGTGTGTGTGTGTGTGCATATGTGTGTGCATATCCATTTTTCTTTTGATGCTTGTGATTTGCACAAAACTGGAAAACTGCACAAGCAAAAAGCCCTAGCCATAGATATTCTTTCCAACCCCCAGATTTTCATAAAACCAGAAAATTGCACAAGCAAATTTTCAGTTGTCCGACTCTGTGCTTTTGCACACTTTGTGGGTCAGGATATTTAGGGGTTTTTTTTAGAAGGTGCAAGTGCTGCTGTCTGAATTTTACTGGCAGAACAGACTCAACAAATCAGAAGGTGGGGAAACACAGAAGGGAGTGCCTACTGGCGTGAGTGGGGAAAACCTACGTTGATCCTCATATACAGTACAAATTCAAATACGTGCAGGTGTGGACTCCTCTGGTCTGATTCAAATGGGGAAAGAGTGAATAAACAGCAAAAGAATGCTCAAGTGTGGTCAAGCCCTTGGATCAAATTGATGCATTTAAAAATTTTATTTAAGATATTGGTTAGCTGCTCTTCCGTCAACGCTTCCAGAGAAAAGAATAAAGCAACCACACACATTTAATTGCTTTGTATTATTGTAACAGACCACTGCAGATAAAACGTGTTGTGCACAGACATGTGAGATTTGGGGTAACACAGAACTCTTGGCCAAAATGTTGTGAGATGAACATAAGGAAATCAACTGCCCCGTATGCTTTGCTCTGCTGTTACTCCTCCTCTCCCTGCAGTTCTGAGTATTTCTGTCTGAAATCGATGCCCCCTTTTGACTGCCTTTGGGCTGTTCCTGCAAGGCAGGATTTCACCTTTGAGGATCAGGGTGGGAGTCCAGAGCGAGATTCCCAGGGATGCCTGGAGAGCAGCGATCCTACAAGGCTGTCCTGGGGTACTTCCAGGGCAAGACCACCTGCTCTGCAACTCTCCCTGCCTCTTTCTGCTTGCTTATCTCCCACATAAACATGCTGGTGGATGCTGGGATGTTAATGGAGTTTATTAGCCACCACCCGTCTTTGCAAGAGCTCTCCTTTTGCAGCTTAACCCATAACAAAGTCAGCTGTGCGAAGGGGAGGAGGAAGAGGAAAGGGCAGGAGAAATATGTCCTGTTTATGTCTTGGGAACTCTGGGTTTCTCTTGACTGCCCTGTGTCACGGCATGCTCTCTCTCTCAAATACTGCTCAGTGTGAAATACAGTGGTACCTCAGGTTACATACGTTTCAGGTTACAGACTCCGCTAACCCAGAAATAGTACCTCGGGTTAAGAACTTTGCTTCAGGATGAGAACAGAAATCATACGGCGGCAGCAGGAGGCCCCATTAGCTAAAGTGGTGCTTCAGGTTAAGAACAGTTTCAGGTTAAGAACAGACCTCCAGAACGAATTAAGTACTTAACCCGAGGTACCACAGTATCATTTGAGGTCAACTCTCAAATGCAAACTGTACGTCTATCAGGCACTTTGAAGGACCAGCTATGGAGGAGGATGAAGGAGCCTGCAGAAACACTTGTGGATATGGGCCAATATTTGAGCGTTCAGTGAATAAATATCTAGAGCAGCCTCCCCCAACACGGTATTTTTCAGATGCTCAGGACTACAATTCCCACTGGGAGTTGTCTTTCAAAACAACTGGAGGATACTAGGTCAGGTAAAGGTAAAGGGACCCCTGACTATTAGGTCCAGTCGTGACCGACTCTGGGGTTGCAGCGCCCAACTCGCTTTACTGGCCGAGGGAGCCGGTGTACAGCTTCCAGGTCATGTGGCCAGCAGGACTAAGCTGCTTCTGGCGAACCAGAGCAGTGCACGGAAACGCCCTTTACCTTCCCGCCAGAGTGGTACCTATTTATCTACTTGCACTCTGACGTGCTTTCGAACTGCTAGGTTGGCAGGAGCAGGGACCGAGCAACGGGAGCTCACCCCTTCGTGGGGATCCGAACTGCTGACCTTCTGATCAGCAAGTCCTAGGCTCTGTGGTTTAACCCACAGCGCCACCTGCGTTCTAGGAAACTCGACATCATAAGTCATGGAGGAGAATCTAGGGGAGCAAATTTCAGTTCAGCTGCAGCGCCCACCTTCCTTTGTGAGTAAACACTGAGCAATCAGAAGCTGCAATGTGGTTTATTTACTCAGAAATATATCCTGTAGGACTTGCTTTCAGGGAAATATGTATAGGATTGGACCCAAAGGGAGTGAGGGGGCCTACAAAACGGAAATGCTCCTTTGACCATAGCCCACCTGAGTAACAGTGACCTACAGCAGTGGCTAAAGGACTGTGTGCCTTTGAATAAGACGGTCCTGAGTTCAAAACTTAATTCTGCCATGAGCTCAGAGACAGACCATAGATAGGCTGCTCCTCTGTCAGTCTAAGTTCCCACCTACAAGATCGCAATGTTAATACTAGATTCCAAGCCAATAATGTGATTTCTTTAATGGGCATTTGGTATATAGTAAAGGTAAAGGGACCCCTGACCATTAGGTCCAGTCGTGGCCAACTCTGGGGTTGCGGCGCTCATCTCGCTTTACTGGCCGAGGGAGCCGGCGTACAGCTTCCGGATCATGTGGCCAGCATGACTAAGCTGCTTCTGGCGAACCAGAGCAGCGCACGAAAACGCCGTTTACCTTCCCGCCGGAGTGGTACCTATTTATCTACTTGCACTTTGATGTGTTATCGAACTGCTAGGTTGGCAGGAGCAGGGACCGAACAACGGGAGCTCACCCCGTTGCGGGGATTCGAACTGCCGACCTTCTGATCAACAAGTCCTAGGCTCTGTGGTTTAACCCACAGCGCCACCTGCGCCCCTATTTGGTATATAATAGGGTGATAATTGGCTGGTTTGCTAGGATCACCCTTCTTAAAGATAGGAAGGACTATGCTAATATTCCACTGAGAAAGAAAGTGACCAATATTTATGTAAATAGAGTTGCAAGGATAGATACCCATCAATTTCAGGCTGCCTTATACACTTCTCCAATGATTCCACCTTCTCATTTTTTAGAGTAGAGATTATTTCACAGGTTTCAGTAGGAGTCACAGGGTCCCACACTCGAAGACTTCCCCCTATATTAACGGGGGGGGGGGCTATTTGAATATTGTTTCATAACAGGATCTTAGGCAATGAGTTTATTGAACAGCTCTCAGAAATGCGTCTCCCAGGGACGTAAGGGGATAAAGGCTGCTAATACTGCCCTCCCTTGCCAGGCTGTTGTGCGGATCCTTGAACTAATGGCATAGGAAGTCATTTAAATTCTCTAACACGCCATGCAAAGCCTGTGAAATGCTATGCTGTTGTTTCAACGAACGCCTGAGCCGCTTCCAAGCTACAAATAAAGTGAAGTTTGTCATGAACGTCATCTATAACCCGAGTGGTTTTATTTCTCTGGGTTCCACACCCCCTGACGATGGGCGTGCTACAGATTCCTCGTGACAAACTGTGGCTTCACCGAAAACCTCCTGCTGCTTCCAGACCCTCTTCAGATTATTATTTGCTCACAACGAATGTCCATGTCAGTGCAAGTTAAATAATAGACTCCAGTTGCTGAGATCCTTGGACAACCGACACTCTATAAATATAGATTACCTTATAGATTATGTGCCACTGGATAAGAAGAGGCCCAGCCGTTTCCCTACAAAGTGTCAGAAGGGAGAATTATCCACAGAAGGTGCTTTTAGGGTGGCTGGGTTAATCCACTGTCCCCTCTTTCCATCCTTGCGACTCTTAACATCCAGTTTCTAAGGCTTTGCCGATGCATTTGCAGCCCTGAATTTAGCTTCCAGCTAAACAGATTGGCTTTATGCACAGGTGTAGCATGGGATGTGTTGGTTTAGGGCCTTAGGATTTTTTAGTTTTCATTTTTGGTAACTTTGCTGTGTTAAATGTGCATTCCATGGTCGTAATTCTCCTTTGTCATTTTTTTTTTATTTGGGAAACTTTAAGAAAACGTTTTAGTTTCCTGCTAATTTTGTTGCTTTGAATGTATACTTTATGTTTGACTTTCTTCAGTAATGTTTTATTCTGGATTGTTTCAATTGGATTTTGTGTATTATATACTATGATGTTAGCCGCCCTGAGCCTGGTTTGGCTGGGGAGGGTGGGATATAAATAAAATATTCTTATTCTTATGGACAGGTAGTAAATGAGGTATTTTGAGAGGCATAATTTTATCCCAGCACGAGAGATGGTAGGAAGTCCTTCGTGCAGCACAAAGTTACACTGTGGAACTCCCTCCCACAGGAGGCCGCCAACCCAGATGGCTTTAAAAGAGGATGGGACAAATTCGTGGAGGACGAGAGGACTATCAATGGCTACTAGCCAGCATAGCTCTGCTCGGACTCCACTTATGAATACCCGTTGCTGGAAACCGCAGGAGGGAAGAGTGCACCTGTGTTCGAATCCTGCTCGCTGGCCTCACACAGGCATCTAGTTGGCCACAGTGAGAACAGGACGCAAGACTCCGTGGGCCATGGGCCTCATCCAGTAGGCTCTTCCTTTCTTCTGTATGCCAAGCAGATGCTCCACCACCGAGTCAGGGCCCTCTACGTGCTGCTAAACTACAGCTCCCATCAGCCTTGACCACTGACTCTTCCAGCCTGGACTGATGGGGTTTGGAATGCAAGAGCTAAGTGCCACAGGTCCCCCACATGAAAAGGTAAAGGGACCCCTGACCATTAGGTCCAGCCGCGGCCGACTCTGGGGTTGCGGCACTCATCTTGCTTTACTGGCCGAGGGAGCCGGTGTACAGCTTCCGGGTCATGTGGCCAGCAGGACTAAGCCGCTTCTGGCAAACCAGAGCAGCGCATGGAAACGCCGTTTACCTTCCCGCTGGAGTGGTACCTATTTATCTACTTGCACTTTGACGTGCTTTCAAACTGCTAGGTTGGCAGGAGCAGGGACTGAGCAACGGGAGCTCACCCCGTCGCGGGGATTCGAACCGCTGACCTTCTGATCGGCAAGTCCTAGGCTCTGTGGTTTAACCCACAGTGCCACCCGCATCCCTCCCCCACATGTACCAAGAGTTTAAAAAGTGGAGGGCAGAGGTCCTTTGCTACTGGACTCCACTTCGCTTGGAAAGGGTTGCTTGTTGTTCCACCTTTCTAGGAGAAAATCAAACTCAAGTGGCTTATGATGCAAGTGACTGCTTTGAAATAAAATTAGGGGACTATCAGCTTTCACAGAGTTGGCTCTGGGTTTTTTGGAAGAGTCAGAAAACCCACCCGGGACTGTCAGTCTTTGCATGTTGATGGAAGGAGGGAAGGAAGCTTCTTCCGCCCAGGTATTAGGTGCGCCCAGGGAGTCTCGGCCGGCTAGTCCGTCGGTGATCTTCTCTCTGGAGCAATTTCCCCCTCGGGCGATCCGCCAGCCCAGCCCAGCCCAGCCGGCCCCCTGCCATTTATCACTCCCTTTGACGTGTTGTTAGCAAATGGGGATCTCTCGGCTGCTGGGGGTGGGGAAGAGGAGGAGGAGGAAGGGGTCAGTCTTGTTTCTACTGCCACTTGTTGCAAAGGGGGGGGGGAGGAGTAGGAGGAAGAGGAGGGCGAAAAACAGGACCCCCCCTCCGATCTCGCCCACAAGGCGCAGGATCCGAATCTAGAGAAATATTTCGGACGCATCTGACACATGCCTCGAGGGGGGTGGAAGGAGGGGGAGGGGCAGACCCCCAACAACCCTCCCCGGACCAACCCCGAACGCCAGCGCGGAGGTCTCGATTAAAATTACATTCAGGCGGCCAGGCGGTCGCCCTCCCTCCCTCGCTTCCCACACACACGCCACCCCCCCCCGTCGAGTTTGAGTCCATTTTTTCGCCCAGCGCGGCCAGGTGCGCCACGGAGAGGCGAAGGATGGGCGAAAACACCCGCGTCGCCACCAAATCCGCCCTGGTAAGCGGCGCCGGGTCAGCACCCCTCGTACCCCCCCGGGGGGGCGGGCGGCGATTCGGTCCCGGACTCCCCACCGCGCGGGTGGAGTTTGGAAGGAGTTTGTTTGCTTGTTTTAACGGGTGGGAGGGGGAAGTCAGCGTCGGGTTACTGGGAAAGCCAACTTCTGGAGGGCTTCACGCGTGTGTGTGTCCCCCCCCGTCTCCAGCCTCTCCCGTCCAGTTTAATTCTTTTGATGGGGGGGAGGGAAGGTTCTCCCCCGCTTTCCTTGTGAAGTTTCCGCGCGCGCTTCTCGATAGCACCGTGGGTGGGTCCCCAAGCGGACGCTCCCGGGCGGCTTCCTTCCTTCCTGACCCCCCCCGGTCAGTCCCACGCCCTGGGCTCCTTCCCCTTCCCACCCCGACGCCCTTCGGGGACCATCTTCCCTTTCCTCCGCCCTCCCTTCTCCCCCCCTCCCGCCCCGTCTCCTTTTCTTCCTCCTCGGCTCCTTCGTCCTTTCTTCCTTCTGACGCCCCCCCCTCTCCGTTTATTTCTTTCTTTCTCTCTCTTTCCAGGCTGCCGCCGCCTTCTCCTCGCCGTCGGCGTCGTCGGCTCCGTCGTGCTCGCCGGGGCGCGGCGCGGGCGCCGCCGGGGGGCTCCGGCTGGAGGCGGTGATGGAGAACCTGCAGCGGGCGCAGGCGGCGCGCCTCGAGGAGAAGCTGCGCCGCGCCCAGGCAGCCCCGGCCCGGAGCAGCCCCGGCGGCGGCGGCCCCACCCCCAGGCGCTCCCGGCCGGGCAGCCGCCTCCGTTGCGCGCCTCGCAACCGCCGCCTCCGCACCCCGCCGCCGCCGGAGCCTGCCCGACGGCCACCCCGCTGGCGCTGCGCCCCTTCCCGGCCGCCGGGCGCTGCGCGGGGCTGCTGCCCTCGGGGCGAGCGCTCCCTCTCCCTCCGCCGCGCCCCGCGCTGGATCCGGCCGCTGTCCGCCGCCGCCCCGAGGAAGAGGAGGAGGAGGAGGGCGGTGGCGGCGAGGAGGACGACGACGAGGAGGAAGACGACGAGGAGGAAGCGGAGGACGACGAGCCGGACGACGAGGACCGAGGCGCTGCCGCCGCGCCCCGACACGCGCCGCGCCTCGCCTCGCCGCCGCTGCCCCCGGCGCCGCAGCAGCCCCACGAGTGGACCTACGAAGAGCAGTTCAAGCAGGTAGGCAGCAGGAAATCTCGGTGTTATTAACCCCCCGCATGCAAGTGTGCGCCCCTCGACGGGACCCCCCAAGCTGCTCTGAAAAGGACTCCTCCCTCGCATCCCAATTGCGCCCCCAGATCGCCTCCTTGCACAGCTGCGCCCTCGGAGCTGCCAGAGGGAAAACTTTGGCGCTGACATCTCTTTCTCCAGAGGCTTAGAGATCTTTTGCATCCTCCACGAAAGGGCAAATGAGCCCCAACTTCTTCCTCTCCGACTCTCAGGCCTGCCTCACAAACTGGCCGTCAATTTCTCAGTTCTTTTTAATTCTTTCAAAGATACTTAATCTTTCGCCATTAGCTACTTCCCCCACCACACTCTGACAACAGTTCCCTTTATTTCCAGTGCCCCGGGTCATGTGGCCGGAAAAACAACGAATAGCCCCCATGAGGACTAGCCTCCTTAGGGGCTGCGGTATTGTGACAGTTGTAGGTGGGACAGTGGAAATGGGGAAACTGGGTGGGTGGAAGGAATGCAATGGAGTATGCTGGAAAAGAGCGTGGCTGAAAGGGACACTCTTAGGTTGTCAGTCCTGTTTGTATGTATTGTTACCAAATGATCGACTAGACAGGGTTTTCTAGGTGCTGGTGCGCAAGAATCCTGACCTCCCCTCCAGTTATTAAAGTTTGTAGGGCTGGAGAAATATTCTGAAATGTCGAGACAACATTCTTAAGAGCCCGTTCTCTAATTCTGGGGTGCCAAAAATTCTAGGCTGCTTCCAACCTGTATCTCAAACCCGTTAGGAAGGATCCAGGAGCGCCAATCTGCCAGTCTCTGAAAATATAGTTTGGTTCATTTGCAAGCCTCTTGAGAGCTGACCCCAAATTCCTTCTTTTGCCCCTGTTCATTCCATCTTCTTTCCAAACCTTTGCATTAGGTTCCCAAATAGCCCCCAGTGCCTGCCAGAATCCTGCAAATGCTGCTGATTTATTCTCAAATCAATTTTCTTTCCTCTCGGTATTCTACCCCCTGTATATACCCTCTCCATGGATGTTTCAAGTTTTGTAAGGTCTCCTTGTTGCCTTGAATGTGCCATTTCTCATATATAGAACCAGGGCATCAAATAAAGTTCTCTTTGAGACAGGACAGCTTGTACCTCCGCAGGTAGCTGTTAGGGCCTTTCCCCCGAAAAAGACAATTCCTCTCACTGTTTATGTCAAGGCTGAGCTACAGCTAAAGTTGTTTTTAGGGTGGTGGAATCTTGGATTTTTAACCAACTGTTTCAGTTGGTGTGGTGTAGCGTTTAGAGTGTCTGACATGAACCCGGGAGACCAGGGTTCAAGTCTTCAATCGGCCATAAAATTCACCAGGTGACTTTGGGGCAGTCCCTCACGCTCGGCGTAACCTACCTCACAGGGTTGTCATGGAGATAAATTAGGAGGGAGGTAGAACCACGTACCATGAACCTTCAGCTCCTTGGAGGGGGAAAAGTGGAATAGAAATGCCATAAATGAATTTTGGGCAGTTTAAAACCATCATATCCAGTGCTTCTCATGGGGAGTTTTGCCTGTATAGCTAGACTCTCCCTCCTCTTCTTCCCCTGCACACCCTCAAAATCTGTTTTGGAGGATCCCCCAAACCCCTGGAACAGATTTTGGGGGTGCACAGATGTTTCAGGAGAGAGGGAAGGAAAGTTCTGTTGGCCAAGTGAGTCTCCGGCACAAGTAGAACAGCATCGTTCGCGATGACCCATCACTTCTAGTCTCTCCTTCTGCAGACAGTGGCGTGTGCAATTATTCATTTTCCTTCTTTGGGGATACATTCAGATATCTGAAAACAACTGCTGTTTCTACTCCCTCTTTGCACCTTTTCCAGGGTTCCTAGAGCCTCCTTTCAGGAGGGATGTTTTGCCCCCGAGAATGTCCCAATTCCCAAAGCGCTCTTGTTCACCTTTTCCCTTCCTCCGCCAGAAGGATTGGGTACTATAACTGTTGAGTCGGAAGGGGTCTCCAAGGGTCATCCAGTCCAACCTCCTGCAATGCAGGAATTGCAGTGAAAGCATCCCTGACAGATGGCCTCCCAACCTGTGTTTGAAAACCTCTGTCCCGCGTGCTCCTTCCAGACCTGGTCCATGTTGCTCTGTCCCGACTGGGCGGCTGCAGGAATTCTATAGCAGCCTCCAGATGTTTCTGTCTGCTGATGCATGCTGTACCCCAAAATCTCTGCAGGGCACCAGGTTGGGGAAGGCTGTCCTATAAAGTAGGGGAGAGGAATTAACATGCAACCAGGGGAAGCGACACGGGACCTCCCCTATCACACTTTCCCCACTGCATAGGAAATTGCCTTCTGTTGGTCCATCTACCTTCGTGCTGTCTGCAGTGACTTGGCAGTGGCTCTCTTCAGCCTTCCCGCACTTCCTTCTTGTAGGTGCCCGGATTCGAACCTGGGACCTCCTGCATGCAAAGCAGATGCTCTTCCACTGAGCCATGCAGCGCTTGCCCACAATGACAGGGTGGTTTCTTCTGGTTTCTTGCTGCCTCCATCAGTGGAGGGCAGAGCGTAGTGATTGTGGCTACTGGCCATTGAGATTCCTCTCCTCCATGAATTTGCCCATTGCTTTTTAAAAGGACTGGGCAACTTTGCCTCCTGTGGCAGTGAGTTCCATAGTTTAACTATGCGCTGTGTGAAGGTGCTTTTCTCTCAGCCAGGCTGACTTGTGGCACTGGAACTGTCTCGAGGGTGAAGTGATGCCAAGGGGGCAGAGTGCACTTGTCACCATTCCTCTCCCCCACCCAAATGCTAAATTTACACTTTAAATCAGGCCTTCCCCATGCATGCATTTTATTTTTTTTAAAAAAAATATTCCATTTTAACAATGTAACAATTTCACAATGTCCGGCATCTATCTATCTATCTATCTATCTATCTATCTATCTATCTATCTATCTATCTAATCTTTCTATCTCAATTTGGAAAATTCATAGCAAATAAGGAACATTTCTGATCGAGATACACATGCATTTTTATACATGGTTGCGACGTGCCTATATTTAAAGAATCAGACCTGCCTCCATCATGCCTGGTTTTTTTGCCCCATTGTTTGGGAAGAAATGATTGCCCAGAGGACCTCTACAGTCACTCAGGAGCATTCCAGAGCATAGCTGTCGACTTTCCCCTTTTCTTGCGAGGAATCCTATTCGGAATAAGGGAATTTCCCTAAAAAAAGGGAAACGTTGACAGCTGTGTTCCAGAGTTAGAGCTGGAAGGTAGTCTATGCCAGGGATGAGCAGACTTCAGTCTTGAGGGGTCAACTTTGTTTTCCCCCCATTAGAACCCCAAAATCTACCAGCCGGATCCTGTTGCAAATGCCTCACACTTAGAATGAAAGAATTCTGAACTTGGGGACTTGTTTTGTGCATGGGAACAGAACCGAGCTATCAGTTCTTTCACGCATAAATCCATTTCTGGATATTTCAAGCGTCCCTCGTTTCACCAGCATAATTTGGTTGGGAGGTGGTCATTTTGTTGTTACTATTGTTGAACAGCTGGAAGTCAGAATTCCTTGCCGATCTACTGTAGATCACCCAGAGAGCTACCAGTAGAGAGGGAGAGTGATTATCTTTTGCTCGCCATTAACTGCACCCATTCCCTTCTTGCTCCTATCTGAATTAAAACACGGAATGTGAATTTTAGACTTGCTTTGTTTGGGAAGATTGTGCCCCTCCATATCCCAAATCTGCCAGACCTGTAATTCCGATTACTTTTTCCTGGAGCTGCTTCCGCAGACCCCTTTCTCATGGTGGGATGAAGGAGGAAGGAGCTGGCTTTCGGTGAGAATTTAGGATTTGTCAAAACCTGCGATGCACCAAGAGGGAAGAAGCTGATTCCCGTGGCTTGATTCCTGGTTTGGGAGAGCTTGGGAACAGTACTGGAATCGCATGGCGGTTCTGCCGAACAATTGCAACTCTGCCCTCGGAAGACCTGTTTCAAATGATTCCGTTATCCTAGAAACACACACACAAAAAACTGCCTTTTAGCTGGGTTGCCACCATGATCCGGGACACACTCGAGAGAATCAACAGCACTTAACTTCCACTGCAATTCAGATCTTAAGGGTGGTAAAAAATTACAAACCACTTGGGTTTTCTATCCTCAGAACAGTGTGCAGGGATGGCTGTCCCAGGACATCACAGAGATGGACTCTCTGGACCCATCTGGTTGAGTTCATCCAGGCATGGGCAAGGATGACGGGCACACCCTTCATGTAAAATAATAATAATAATAATAATAATAATAATAATAATAATAATAATAATAAATTTCTCATTGGTGTTGCAAATTGTGTTCACTGTATTTTTAGTGCTTTGTCCATCAAGGTGTGTGTGTCCTCCTTATATTTAGCTCTTCCTTCCCATGTGTAACGTTTATTTTCGGGTGTAACTAAGCCCATTTGCGACTGCCTTCTTCTTCCTCCTCCCCATCGCATGCATCTGATGAAGTAGACTGTTGCCCGCGAAGACGAAAGGAACCAGTTTGGGCTGCTTCAGATGTTGTATGTTTTCTTTGTCGGAAAGACAACACGGTGTGCAGATCGTCTGTCGCTTGTTACAAAGCGTTGGTTTCCAGCTCCTTCATACGTGGCGGCGCTTTAAACAAAGCGCATGCCAAGGGGCTCTTACTTTCTAAGGGATCGGGGTGCTTTCTGTCCGCCTTGTATGAAATACTTAAGGATCAAGACTCTGGAGAATTGCAGGGTTAGTTCTCTCTCACTGCAAAATGAATCTGCGTGCCTGCTTAACTTTGCTGAGGAAGTCCAACAGGGCCTGTACTTGCACTACGCAGAATGTTTTGAGTGTAAATCTTTTCTGAACCAGCATGCTAGCATTTGTCAGATCAGCCAGGCGGCCAGCTGATTGATGGTCCAGCCCCAAACGCCTTCTGCTTTCTTGTGCCAAGAATAGGTTGGACGTTCTCTTCCTGGATGCAGCGACCGGACTTCAGAGCTCTGTGCATCTTTTTAG